GAGAGATTTCCATGGACAGGATGAGCAACACACCGGGCAACAGGTAAGTCTACAACTCCGCGGCTGCCCCCACGCGACTTCGATTCTGCTTTGCAGCCTCCCCAGTCCGCGCCGTAGGCCCGACGCGATAGGATGAGCAAAATCGAATGAATCTTCCGCTTTGCGATGGTCCGGATTCTCATGTCTGGTGTCTTTTTCGGCCCGGGCCCACCACCCGAGGTCCCAAACCTCGACACCGGGTCTCGCACCGGCGTCATGCCAGACCCGGCTTTTCCTTTAGTAGTATAGAGAAGAGAAATAAAAATAAAAATGAGTAAGACGTAAAATCCATTAGATGCAGTACAAGACAATAGAGGAAGGGGACTGAAGGACGGAAGCTCAGACAGAATACCTTTTTTTTTTTTTTTGGCAGGGGCCATGCTACTCTTCTCCGTAGCGTTCCAATTTTGACGGATGTCCAGAAGGACACTGAGACAGAATACCTTTCTCGGCCTTTCACCAAGATCAAGTGTGGTATCTGTTCTGATCAGTTTCAGATCCGGTCCGTGGTCCATAGGCCAATATTAAAAGAAAGAACAGAATCTCGATTGGTGGTAAATTCCTTCTCAAGGATGCAATCACTGCCACCAGTCCAGGTTCATAATAACAGCAATCATGGGAGTCAAAAATAGTTTTTCTCAGTTTGCTGGGCATTTCTTCCAAGGCGGGGCAGCGGACCCGGTTTCCAGCATTTCTATCTATACTGGAGTCGATTTTGACCAGGTGCAGCAACCCACCAGTTGGATCTGATTGATGAATCAATAGCCCACAGGTGGGAATCAATAGTCCACTGCCCCCACGGGTTGGCAATGAATCAATAGCCCGTAAGATTCGCAAATAGCCCACAGGTTGGTGAACCAGGGTGATAATCCACAATTAAAAATAGAATGGATTTGTAGAACGAACTGAGAGAGAAGAAAGTACCTCTAAGGGGATCAAGCAGGTGCAGAGCAGAGCATGATCTAATTCCGATACCGATCCAGCACTTGTCCTACCCAGTCTCTTCTGGTTCCAACCTCCCACATAGCTCATGGGCCAGAGAGGCCCATCATCCAGTAATCCGTCCATCTGCGTGCCAGAACGGCCTAAAATCCTTGGGGTAACTGTGCCTTTGGCATCCTGATACAGGCCACCTGGCATTCCCACGAACGTCTCCCAGTCTGGACCGCGGCCAATGCTGGATAGAAAACCCTTGAAATGTGCTGCACCCACCTGAGGGCGCATCGATTCCTTCAGGTTATCCACTCCTGAACCCATACCACTGGATGCCAAAAATGCGGACAGCCTCCGTGTACCAGGCGCAGCACTCCCCCTCCCCGTCTTTCTCATTGACGTCAGTGTGAGAAAGGAGAATCCTTCCTGATGGGCTCTTCCGGCAGACACATGCAGAATTTGAAGTACCTCTGCAAGTAGCACCGCAGCATCAGTTCTTGCCTGCCTATGGAAAAACTGAGTGGTCAGCCTCAATGCCCACACGTGACGCGAAATGACCACCTTTCTCTTTAGCTCCAGGAACCCCAGCACGGCAATCGGTTCCGTATGCGCATGGTAGTCCTCAAGCTGATCTTTCATCTTCACAAGCTCCCAGTTCATTGTATTTCTGACCCTGATCCAGCTCTCATGCATTGGCGTTCTCCCGTTAGAGCTAGAGGGCCTAGCATTCAACACTTCAGTGTTTGGCAAGCTGAGAAGCAACGTTGACCAGCGAACCTTGATGATATCATGCAGTGCCCTTGTTATTCCGACACATGAGGCGATCTCTGCTGGCGTGTAACCGTGCACCGCCATCTTCAGAGCATCAACCGGTGGCCAGAGCTCCCAGATAGATGCCAACATGCCGTTCTCTGTTAGCATTCCATGGCTCTGCTTTTCTTTGTGCTTAGAAGCCCACCCTTCTGTCAAGAGCCCATCGGTACTTGCATTGCCTGCAGCAATACCTCCTACTCCTCCCAAGGGCGACACAGCCATCTCTTCGTCTTCATAACTTGATGATGCCTGGCTCCAGCTCAGATTCACAAACTGGTACATGCCGTCCCTGGAGAGGAGATCGTAGTCTAGAGGAGCATACATTGCAACAGCTTTGTTCTCAGCATCCGGCGGGGAAAAGAAGGGGTTCACATATGCAGAGGGTAAACCCTTCGCTGGCTGAGCCTCCATCTCTTTCGTGATAGACGATTTTCTCCTCTCTCTTACTGGGATGTGTGGGATGTTTGCTGCCTGTGAGAAAGCCTCATAATGTGCTGGCAACGTACGAACCATCAATTGTCCAAGTCTCATCCTGCGGCAGATTTCATAGGCGCAATACAGTGGACGATACGATTCAATCCTGAACCTTCGTATGAGGTGAGCGACTAGCAAAGAGTTGACCTCCAATGAGAAACAGGCTGAGGCAAAGAAAAACAAGGCTGAGGCAAAGGGCTCAATTCTTGTATGTTCTTATGACAAATATAGATGGACAGCACCAGTGGGCATTAACAAAAAGCACGTATGGGGATTTCGGTATGTTGATGATGTGTTCGCAAGATAATAACAAAGAAGCACAATTTGCAATTAGATATTCGGTTTCTTGACACATGCACACAACATGATATCATGACAGTACGAAACTGCAGCGCACATCTCAAAACGATCAGAATTTCTCTACATATCTTGGAGCCACCGCACAGAAACAGGAGCATGGACCTTTCCTGATGTGCGTTTTTTTCTTTTTCATTTTTTCATTTTCTTTTCAAAGCTCGTAATGTGAGGCCACAGCCCGCCCTGAGCATCCTGGGCCTCTCAGCAAGGATGGCCGTCCTAAGTGAAGGCGGCCCTGTAAAATCACATGAGGCCTATTTCGCCCTGTTTCGCAAAGTGGGGCTCAGACAGTTATGCTGCGTCAGTTGGTTGACTGAACCCAGGCCGTGGCAACAGTATCCGGTGAAGGGCTTCTAGGCCCTTCCTATGTTTTTTGGGCACAGGCCCTGGGGCAGACACGGGGCACAAACTGCACGCAGCACGCTTGGCAGTTAGACACACGTAACCACCCAGGACCCTGCGGAATACTATGGCCTCAGCCACTTGGGGCCTAGAAGCTTCTGGGCAGGGGCCCAACGCATCCAGGCAGCACGCAGCAGGCAGGCCACTCCCATGTCTGCCTCCGCATTTGGCATTCGGGCACTTGCTGCATGCTGCGCCAGCGCTGCTGCGCTCTTTGCACGCAAGTGCCTATGCGCTCACAGGCGAGCAGGGAAGAAGCATTCAGCCATAGCCGAGCTGGCCTGCGCATAGCTGTATAGGGATGCATGGTGGTCCTTGGGTGAACGTGGCATCTGTGTGGGGGATCGAGGTTGTGAGTGAAGCGTGAGACATACCTGGTGCTTGAAGTGAATGGCATTGACCGAGATCTGCTCGTACTTCAGGGAGCTGTTGACGTCACCAGCGGCATTGTAGATAGGCTAGATAGGATCTGCCATTCGTAGTCTGGGCACCGAGCGCCAGATAAAGATTCGACATTTGTTCATTGTTGATGATGATGAGACTATTCCAACATCGTCACTTGTGAGCTTTCGCTGTGCTCTTATTTGGTGAACTCGAGTTGCAATTCTGCTTTTGGTTCGAGGTCAAGACTATCTGGTTTCACGTGTGTGATGCTTCTTGGTTTCTGGAATTTGCTAACGCTCATTTTCCTTGCATTTTGGTATCGGAGCTGTGGTACGTTGCGCTAGTCTGGCGCTTGTCTTCTGCTTATACGGTGCATGCACGCGGGTAGCTGGGTGAGCGACCGTGGGTAGTGTGCAGTGAGGAGGGAGAAGGCAAGCAGGCGACCCAGGTGGAGAGGGGTATCGCCAGGAAGGCTGAGTGGTGAAATGGGTGTTTCGCAATGTGATGAGAACTATCTGATGTGCGATCGATGCCGAGGTGGAATGGTGGTACAATCCTGGTTGTGCCAAGGCAATGATTGGTCATCGCAATCGACGTCGGGTCATCTGGTGAGAATATATGTGTTTGGGGGCAGCTATTTTGAGGTACGTTGCTCTTAACCTTATCTACCCTCTTCGACACTCCTTACCGTGAGGATGTGTGTTCTGTCTTGAGAGTCCTCTCATGTGAGGAGTTGAGTGCGCTCAACCTTGAGAAACGGCATTGTTCACGTCGAGCATCTGGAAGGAGAGGGCGTTGCCATCTGAAGGGCCCTAGACGAAGCACTGGGTCACGGTCACCCATGCCAACCCACCAGCACGCATGCTTTGCTGCTTTGTCCTTTGTCTGCTAGCTGTGCTATAGATAGGTCATGAGGGGCAGGCCAGCCCTACAAGGGAGACGAGAACCGAACGTCTATAAATAAATACCGGCGGGTTACCTTCCATTGGCCGTGATCGTCGTCCTGTTTGCGACGTTAAATAATTCCTGAGGACCTTGAGGGTCGTCCTTAAGTTGCCTCTTGATCAGCCAATCGGTCGGTGTAAGGCTCACTGCATTCGAGGATAAACATGGTGTAGGGATGGCCAGCTCAGCATCGACTTGGCGCACAGGGGTAAGCCGTGTGCACACCTTTAGACACGCACACTATCTGGATTGCTCAGGAACGCTGACGTCAAGCGACATCAAGAAGAATTGAGGGAGGGGTAGATTTCAGGTGATAAGTTCGGGAATTCCACTCTGCAAACAACCATACAAATGATTCTATTTTCATTTTGATTAGTTAGATGTATAGCCACTGGAGGAAGCGTTTTTCACAAAAAAAAATAAAAATAAAAAAATGTACAGCCATTAACACATCTGACATACAGCATAGGTAGAACTTAACTGTTTCTTCTTATCTGCTTTTTGTTTGTGAACTAGTCAAGTGAAATAGCCTCGTTTGTAAAAATCTGAACTTACCCGTTGAACCTACCTGTGCATCCTCTGACGATGCCACCGATTATTATTTTTAAATATTTGAAATCGGTCTGAGCACTACACTGCAGTAGGCAACCGAGTGTACCCTAGTGCAGACAGTGTACAATGTTGTAGCATATGAACGACAGGGAGGCCCCTGAGCCAGATGATCGGATCCTGCGTTCGTCAAGCCGTAGATGCCCGTTGGTCCACATAGCGTTAGGACCCGCGGGTGACCGTCTTCTGTTCCGCCAGGCTAGGGAGAGGCAACAGCAGCAGAGGAGGGCGAGGGATGCAGAGGCAAGCTGAGCCTTCGCAAGCAAGGCAGCTACCTCAGCAGCCAATATGGCCACTTCTGCGCAGCAGAGTTCCCAGGCCAGCAGTTTAGGGACTGTCGACGAGACAATCACACAGACCTAGAGTCAGTCCGCTGGTGTTATGGCAAGCCAGCAAACAATGTTATCTCCCGAGGAGTCGCCATCCAGCGAGCAAGCGCTCGTGAGGCACAACTACAACAGGCATTGGATAAGATACAGGCAGAGTAGGAGCGAATGATCAGACGTAGATCTAGGATGCAGCAGAGACAAGCAGACATTAGAGAGTAAGAGGAGATGGAACTAACAAACATGGATGCCGATGTAAGGACCGTTAGGACAGCCGTGCTAGATGTAGTGGAGGTGCAAGACCACCGTACGACACTCTTACAAGACATTCAGAGGAGCCTGGCCGTGCTGGTCGGGCAAGTGCAGGTCACACCATCACCATCGGGGCCAGGTGCCTGGCCTGTGGTACAGCCTCCTCCTTTTGTCCCACCGGTAACTGGAGTGGTCCCATTCACAGTTTCTCCAACTACGGTACAGGCCGCTTCTCATCTGGGTATACCTTTGACAGGCGGGTTCTCAGCAGGTCCTAGTGTACAGATTCCTGTTCAGACAGTGATCTCCCAACCTCCGTTGCAGACTGCCGTAACAAAGCAGCCTGCCGTCTCGCAGCCAGCACAGCCGCAGGGCACACAGCCCCAACAGCAGCACCTGCAGCAGCCTGCACCCCAGGCCCCACAGCCTGGAGTTGTGCAGGTATCGGGACAAGGACAGTGGGTTCCAAAGACTGCCATAGCATCACCGAAACCCTTCTCAGATGATAAGAAGGGTGAGGACCTCGACACATGGTTGAGGACGGTGCCAGTCTGTGTGAAGTGCAAGTTAACCTTGCCTCACGAGGAAGTGTTTGTGGCTGCCTCCTATCTCGAGGGGAGTGCAGCGAGGTGGTTAAGTGGGTACGCACAACTACAAGGATACGGTCATGACTTCCGCGCTTGGGCAGTCACCCTGAAACTGGATTACTTCATCAAGTTGGTGGAGGAAAGGTGGCATGACCCGCGAGAGGCTCAAAAGGCCACCGACGGGATATTGACCTTGAGCTCAAGAAAGTTCAGGTCAGTAAGGGATGCTACGGACGTGGTAGAGCATCTGATCTATGTTCCTGGAGTGCGCTACGACCCCCAGGTCTTACTTACCACTTACCTGAGGTGTCTCCCTATGAAGATTAGGAATCACTTAGCAAGTGAGGTCATGATCACAGTCACAACTTCCCCTCGTTCAGCAAGAAGGCCCCAGATCTGGAGGCAAAAATCGGGCATGGGCACCAACCCACTGCGGATGGTAGGAAGAAGACACTGCCTCCTAACTGGAAGGCCAAGGGTCACATAATGTTCGTCGATAACGATGGTACTACCATAGAGTTGGACGACGACTTCTAGATGGGAGTAGGGCCAGAGTTGGGTAGCGCAGAAGCTTCAGGGGGTAGAGCAGTCGCTGCCTCAGTTCAAAAAGGTAAGGCGACCGGTAGATGCCGTGGAGGTTCCCGGTCAAGGAATTAAGCAGACCCCAATGCTCCTCCATGGGAGAAAGCGGAGCTTACCGAGGACGTGTGGAGATATCGTTACTCCGTGCAACTTGTATTTGTTGTGGCCAATACGGCCATAACCAGTTCAAGCGTCGGAATAAGAAAGTAACAGAAAAGATCCCGCCTACGATGGGGCAGGCGCCGGTCTCCTCTGCTCCCCAGGGTAGCAACGTTGCCAACACTTTTCACACTGCTTCAGGAAACACGCCGGGCCAGTAGGAATTACAGTTGTCTTTGCTAGGGTCGAGGTGGTGAACACACCCTCACCATCTCGAGAGATGGCCCAAGCTATTGACTCTGTCGTCGTCCCGTAAACACATTTGGACCAATCGATCCTCTGTTCGATGAATGTGTTTGAGTCCTTAGAGGAGCTAGAGGAGGAGTGGTCTAGATCGGACCGACTAGCTTATTGGACGACCATAGCAAAAGCTTTTAAGGGCGAGTTGTTCATCAGCGAGGTAGATATAGGCGGTCGTATGGCAACGGCCTTATATGATACATGTTTGACGAGGA